GTTCTGCGGCGTTGCCGCTTCTATCGAAAAGTAGCAACAACTTTGTTATTTTAAATGGAACACCCTGTATTTTATTGCATCTTCAGATTATCTCTGAAGAGCTGATTTCATCGATATATCACACTTGGGGTCTAGCGGAAATGATTACAGAGATATAGGGTGTGAAAAATCGACATTTTTCAACCTAAGGAATTTTTTTTGTCGAAATTATTCATTATTGGTCAAAACGGCTTACATGTCCCTACCTCAACTTTTGATTAACTATCTACTGATATTTAATTGGGACATATACCGGGTGATCAAGAATCTGAATTCTGCACCACCCTGTATTTGTTTCAATTAAATGTCAGTAGATAGTTGATCAAAAGTTGGGATAGGGACATGTGAGCCGTTTTGACCAATAATGAATAGTTTCGACAAAAAAAATTCCTAAAGTTGAAAAATGTCGATTTTTCACACCCAATATCTCTGTAATCATTTCCGCTAGACCCCAAGTGTGATACATCGATGAAATCAGCTCTTCAGAGATAATCTGAAGATGCAATAAAATACAGGGTGTTCCGTTTAAAATAACAAAGTTGTTGCTACTTTTCGATAGAAGCGGCAACGCCGCAGAGCTGAAAATATTTCAGATCGATAGATCAAGAGCAATTACTTGAGTAACCAAATTTTCAGAATGATCTTATGTCCCGTTCTCCGTAAACGTCTAAGGTGCCATCGACCGTGACCCACCCTGTATACCTTTTTCGTAACAAATTAGTGGTAGGTAATCGGTTCTGCCCCGACGCACCCAAACACCCTTATTACGGTAAATATACATTTACAGGAAAAATGCATATGAACTTTCTTCAAAATTGAACTTCTATTACAAACCTCTCAATGTATATATACATATGGTACTTTCTACTGAATGACCTTGTATAATAAGAATGATGCTACAGAGTGATTCACGCAGACCGTGCATTAGGATGTCCCTAAAAAATTTGGTTTGTTAAACAGTTTTCGAGATGACATTTTTTGTGAATTATAAGATGAAGCAATTTTTTAAAATCTGAGATGAGTTGATATGATTGGTTGTCTGATTTCTATCCGCACTATGTTAGAAAAAATGCAATGTTTCTATTTGAACTAAGAAAGTTGTGACTGACTTTTGGTACTATATCTCCCTTAATATTTCAGAAGAACAAATACTTGATCGATTAAAGCCATCTCAATAAGTACTTGGTTCAATAATTGAAGTTACGAAACTTGCACAATATATGTAAATCATCCTCTTCGTTTCGATTTTTTTCCATAATTGCGGTCGCTGGTGATATGGAATATAACGAATATTTCGGAACACCCTGTACATTGTGCACAAAGTGTCGATAAACTTATAAAAGCATAATATTATGGTTTCATTATAAGGGTATGATTGCGTAAATGAAAAATCTTATATTTATTTAGCCATAAATATGTGCTCATTGAGATGCTGAATATTAACGAGCTTAATCCGAGAACCTTGACTTTTAAGTTTATGTAACTCATTTGTGAATGAAAGTTGTACAAATGTACTTGCGCAATTCTTGCAATGTGCATTTTTACAGGGTGACTCCAAACTGATATGAAAAATAATGAAAATATAGTATCAACGTATAGGTATTATAAATGTCAGGTCATGTTGTATCAACTCATTCATAAAACTCTAGATTCAAAATTAAATTTAAAATAAGTGAAACATTATCGGGTGTTTCATTTTATTGAAATAAGAAAGTGAGCTTAGATTAAACCTGGACGCCCAGAAAACAATTTATTACGTCGAAAATGCATATTCATGTGCTGTACTTATACACTGAATATCATTTGTTTATCGGTACAGAGTCAAAAAAGTTATAGGGATGAGTCATTTTTGGGAAATACCCTGTAAATTAGTGTATATATAATTCTCTAAGTGGATATATTTGGATGAACTTTGCGCATATAGAAATTTGTTGTCAACAATAATTGTTTCCATTTATTTCAATGGAATAATGAGGCACTGTGATGTTTTTAGGATAGTAGTAATGATTCGAACATACGAATAAAAAAGCCATGCAGTTCGTAAACAGACGATGTTTCGTTCATTCCAAAATGCGAATGCAATAAAAAGTCCTTTCTACGAGATTCACAAATAAAAAAATTCTCTTCTAGTACTAGGCATCAATGTTTGGCAAATTGCAACTAAAAAGCCTTATGTAAATACATAATAAAAATCATATTTGGTTTTATGATTCCCACTGATTGAATATTTTGAGTTGAAATTTCTGCAAAATCGAAACATTAATAATTGATTCAAAGATTACTAATAGTTGGAGAGCAAGGAGACAAAAAAGATGACGATTTCATCAAACTTGTTATTGATAGGAATCGATTCATTCGTCATTGGCCATCATCAAACCGATCGTCTGCCGAGTCGATCTTGTGTCAAGTACTTGGGGGTGTATCAAGAAAGTGATGGTTTTATTATTTTAGTGAACGATTTTTTCTAATAAAATGTTGTTATGGGTGTTGAAGACAGCTATTATGGATCACAATTTTCTTTGACGATTTTTTCGGAAATATTTGAGTAGCAGCAGACGACTTGAAAAATGGTAAAAATTACATTTTTGCACGACGTGCGTAAAGTAGCACATTACCACTCGGTCTTGCGATAGGCTGAGTATTCGATATTTAATTAAAAGGAAACCATTGAATATCGAGATACGCCACTTTTTGAGATCATAGAGTACAAAGTCATTTGACGAAGTATCTCAAATTCCGATTTTTATGAAATGCGTCATTACGTGAGATGACCCACGAATTCATAAAGAAAAATTCATCACGGCAAATGATTTCCCCAATCATAACGATACTAGAAACGCATTGGCAAGCGATAAAATCGAAAACATATTCCAAGAAGACACTGTCAAAATGGCTATCATTTTGAAAGATTATAAACGATCAATCAGTGAGTGAATTGGCTAATGAAATCGTCAATACATTGAGCCTGCCTAATAGACGATTTTTGGTGGCTTTGTGTAAGTACATGGTGATTCACCATAAATGTCCCCCCCTCTAGCTCACTTATTCTTGAACCGATTTAAAAATTTGAAAAATCATCTTAAATGATTTTTCAGAAATTTTTTTCCTGTTACATCAGAAAATACAGGGTGCTCGGACCAAACGATCTACAGAGTACTACTTGATTTTTTCAAATGGAATACCCTGTATTTCATTGTATTTTTATATTCTTCCTAAAGAGCTTATTTCATCAATGCATCACACTTGGGGTCTAGCAGGAATGATTACAGAGATATAGAGTGTTCAAAATCGAGATTTTTCAACTTCAAGATTTTTTTTGTCGAAACTATTGCATTATTGGTCAAAACGGCTTCAATGTCCCTATCTCAACTTTTAATTTACTATCTACTGTCATTTAATTGGAACATACACAGTGTGATTCAAGATTCAGAATTCTGGTCACCCTGTATCTGTTTCAATTATTGAATGTCAGTAGATATTGAATCAAAAGTTGAGATACGGACATGAAAGCCGTTTTGACAGATAATGAATAGTTTCGTCACAGAAAAATCCTAAAAATGAAAAATCTCGATTTTGAACACGCTATATCTCTGTAATCATTTTTGCTAGAACCCAAGAGTGATACATTGATGTAATCAGCTCTTCAGGGAGAATCTAAAAATACAATGAAATACAGGGTGTTCCATATGAAAAAATCAAGTAGTACTCTGTAGATCGTTTGGTCCGGTATTTTCTGATGCAACGGGAAAAAAAATTCTGAAAAATCATTTTAGATGATTTTTCAAATTTTTAAATCGGTTCAAAAATAAGTGAGCTAGAGGGGGGGACATTTATGGTGAATCACCCTGTACAGATGTCACTCAAAATCAGAAAAAAATCCATGGTTACTTGGGTAGGTATGTATTTTTCAACTTCAATACTTTTGACATTGAAACTTTACTTTGGACACAATATTACTTTCAATCCTAGGAACTGGAAGCTTCACCAGCAATGTTGATGCTGTATTATTGAATTCGAATACTATTTTTTGTGCACTATTTCTACCAGGAATGATTCGCTGAAATTCTTAGTTTCTTCTTGTGAAAACATAAATTCACCCGCAGGAGGTCAAGTGCGATTTAACGCCCGCAAAACCAAGCCTTAAAGTGCTCACGCCCGTTTTTGCTAAATAGTTATTTATGTATCAAGATCGTATAAAGTAGGATTTTCTGGACCGCAGGCGTGTAAATTACTTCCGAATACATACAAAATTTTATGCACGACCGTTTTATACATTGATTTAATGTCAATATGGCGAATTTGTTGGTGATTTTGAATTCGAATTATGTATGCCACTGGCAAAGAAATATCGAATGGTAGTCTACCAGACATTACGGAAAAAACAGTAAAATCACTTTATCGTCTGTTCACCTAGTTTTCAGCCCGCTGGACTAATTTACTCCCCGCTGTACACAATTTTCGCCCTAGGGCTCTAAATTGTAACTTTGAGGCTTTTATGGACCGAAGCGTGTAAGTAAGAGAGAGTACGACAGTGTTGCTTAGCTATCTGCTGTGTTCACAATGTCTACATAATAATTGATGTCAAAAATGTTCTGACGATTTCTGTGACGCTACATATGTCACGTCTTGTAAGTCATGTCATATGTCAACATCAGGATTTTTCGTTTTTTATTTCAGCACCTTCGGTTCTGTCATTTATCAATACCACTTCATCACGATTACCTCACTCTGAGATACAAACTTCAATATATATCTGTACCGTTATTAGCAAGCATGTTTTACACTACCTAACAGGACCATATATATTTATATGGAGAATTTCTTGTCGAAAGTGCTACTCAACGCCCGCAAATGATGATGATGATGACCAGCGATGAAGTGCTATTTTAGGCCCGGTCGTGCAAAAAGTATATTTATTATTATTAAGCATTCCAGGGTAAATAAGTGATAGGAATACGTACCCCAGAGTGAACATAACCTTCTCCGTGAGACCTGTAACCGCAGCCGCGATGGCCAGCATGAAGGTGGTGAGGCCGAAGGAGGCGTGGATGGGCACCAGAGCGGCCCTAAAGCCGGCGGTTGCGCCCTCACAGCACAGAAGCACCAGGAAGCTGAAGAATCCGACGACGAACTGAAAAAAATGCATGGAAAAGTCATAATCAGCGCCGGAGATAACCCTATAGACCAATTTTGAACATAAAATCGTCCGCCATCTTGGTGCCGCCATTTTTTTTTGCCGGAGAAAGGAACAATAAGGATTCCCCCTTTTGATTTTCTGATTTAGGTACAGCACAAATCAGTCAGAAATGCAAGACAAACAGAAAAATCATGACAGAGAGTACCTATTTGAATGAATTGAGTGTTTGAAAGTATATCGACTGAACACTTCTAAGCATTATTAACCTAACAAAATGATAAGGAACATCGGCGGTGGTGCCTTCGCACCAGGAAGATGAAGAATCCGACGACGAACTTATAAAAAAATGCGTGGAAAAGTCATAATAATCTGCGCCGGAGATAACCCCATAGACCAATTTTGAATATAAACTCGTCCGCCATCTTGGTGCAGCCATTCTGTTCTTTTTACAGAGAAAAAACTAGGGTTCCCCCTTTCGAATTTCTGATTTAGGTACAGCACAAATCACTCAGAAATGCAAGACAAACATAGAAAAATCATGACAGAGATTACCTATTTGAATGAATATGAGTGTTGAAAGTATATCGACTAAACACTTCTAAGCATTATTAACCTAACAATTTGATGAGGGAGGAGAAAAATGCGTGGAGAAGTGATAATCTGTGCTCGAGATAACCCTCTGCAGATAAATTTCGAACACAAACTCGTCCGCCATCTTGGAGCCGACATGTAGTTTTGTTTTACTGAACAAATAAACTACTTATTTGTGTTTCAACTTAGAAGACAGCTTTGGCAACCACAGAGAACCGTTGACCTTCACTTTGATTGGTTGATAATGGAGGCAATATTAGACATGCCCAATATTATGACGTATGACATTACGTAAAAATTCAAGTTTAATATGTTTCAATAAATCCTGAGAATAAGCACGAACTATACAAAAGTGAAGTTCAATCATAGGAATGTTTCTGAATTAGGCGCCAAATATTTATTAATTCAGTGTGAACAATCGTTCGGAGGCAGCATGTCAGAAATGCAAGACAAACAAAGAAAAATCATGACAGAGAGAGTACCTATTTAAATATGTGTTTGCAATTTTAGAGAATTATAGGATTTGCCAGTGTTTGAACATGGGGAAAATTAGTTCGGCTGCGATATTTGAAACATTTTAAAGATAAGAAGTAGTTAAGGATAATATAAAGACTTGAAGAGTTTTTGGGCCCAGTACAACTGCCCAAGCAAAATAAGAAGGAGGTTTTTTTATGGTGTCACCAATTTTTTTTTACTTTTCCTTCATACACATGAACATCTCCCCACATTGATCACGGCTTAACAGCTCCCCCACCCTCTATAAAGGGCCTAGCCCTAGGAGATAGGTATCTGTGACGAACACCACACACATATCCACTCACAAACAAACAATAAATGACTTCAAAAAATGACTCGGGTTCAACCCCTGCGAGGCCTAACATTTTTCAAACTTTTTCTCACAAATAAGTTTTCGAAAAACATACTTCTCAGGAGAAAGGTTTATTTAGACGAGTTAGGTTAGTTTGTTTGAAAATATTAGTCTCCTTTTTCATGCAGAAACGATATTTTCCTTCTTCATGTTCCACTGCGGTCTTCTATATGAAAATAGGTAACCGCCGGCGGTTGTTTATGGAGGTGAATATGGGGTAGTCCCAACAGGACCTCCAGGGCCTCTGTTGGGACCAAGCTGTTTTCAGCTTGGTCCTGGGCCCCATTTTGCTAAGAAAGTCCTGCATACCCAAAAGGCAGCTGTGGCCTTCTTGAATTTGAAGTCCAGATGTTCTTTCCAGGTTAGTTTGGAATCTAGGGTCACCCCTAGTAAAGGTTTACCAAAGAGGGCCCCTCTTCCTAATGAAACGGACCATGACAGTTTTCTCAGGATTCACGCTGAGCCTCTGCACCTGTCACCATTCCATGCATATCTTACTAACCTCAGAGATATTTTGCCTATTCATCACTTTTCAGGCACCCTGTATATCAATTTATGAAACAAACATAGGTAGTATATATAGTAACGCGCTTGTATATTACAAGCAAATTTTCAATAACTAACTACACGTATTCCTGTACTCATAGGTAGGTATGTCGTTTTATATGTTAATGAGACCACTCCTCATTTCACCTGTTTCATTTATGGTCTTTTCATTGCTCGCTCTTTCACAGCTCCTGAGTGATTGAATAATTGATCCTGTTTAACATACTCCGTTGAGCGCAATACCATCATGAAACGTGAAATGAACATTTGAATCACCCGTTTAGAGTCAATTATTTTTATGAATAGATAATTCCACTGCTCAAAATATGTTACACCTACTGGTTCTTCCTGGCCTATGTATATCAGTAACCTAGATTAGGAACAATTCTTAAATTGCTTGATTCACTTAACACATTACAATCATGTGTGTTCACTGTTTGTCATGCATTAGGAACATAGGAACTGACATAGATAATAGTTGTTTGAACTTTTGAACATGTACAGGGTATCCCAATTTGGGCACTTTTGCGGGGTATCTCCCTTATCAGTAAAGATAGAGCATTGCGGTTTTCGCGACAGTGTGCTACTTTTTTATGAAATTAATAATGGCGCAAGCAGAATTGTGGTAGCTCTTCCGGTTGTCTAGATACAGGGTGGAATTGAAAAATATCACCCCCCGTGTCTCAGTTATCTTTGAACTTATCGAAGAAGTTAAAACTCGTTTTTATAGAGTTTTTCTCGTAGAATCCAGTGACGTAGTTATTTTTTTGCTAGCACCTTTTGTTTTTTAGTTATAGAGCAAACATATGTTTTTTTAAATGGAAAATAATTGTATACAATTATATATTTTTGGAAAGCCCACTTCATGCTCAATGTATATATGAAATAATATACAGGGTGTTCCATTTAAAAAAACATATGTTTGCTCCATAACTAAAAAACAAAAGGTGCTAGCAAAAAAATAACTACGCCACTGGATTCTACGAGAAAAACTCTATAAAAACAAGTTTTAACTTCTTCGATAAGTTCAAAGATAACTGAGACACGGAGGGTGCCTGAAAAGTGATATTTTTCAATTCCACCCTGTATCTCGACAACCGGAAGAGCTATCACAATTCTGCTTGCGCCATTATTAATTTCATAAAAAAGTAGCACACTGTCGCGAAAACCGCAATGCTCTATCTTTACTGATAAGGGAGATACCCCGCAAAAGTGCCCAAATTGGGATACCCTGTACTGTGAAGAATTATGTACAGTGATGCCCAATAAATTGGTAACGACTCTTGGGCGAATTGAAATATTTTTGTCTAAGCACATGTACTATTCATTGTCTAGAAACAAGCTGCCTCCCTCATTAGCATTTTATGACCTGCTTCGCGCTGTAAAGGTATTATATAGGGTATACCCAGCAGTATACCCAGAGGTGTTATAATTATTATTCAAACTTGAAAAATAGCAATGACATAGTTCTTTCTTGGCAACTACAATGAGATAAATAGGAATTGATCTGGACTGCTTCACAATGATTCAGTTTTGATGAGAACGATATAATATTATCATAACAAGAATCCAATCTTGAAATAAAGGGATTTAAGAATGTGTAAATTTCAACAATCCACATCCACAATTGATTAATCAAACCTCTTAGCTCTCGAGCTATATAGGGCGTTGGAATTTTCAGGCAAAAATTATTTCATTATAATAATTTGTCATTATCCAGTAATGCCATAGTATACTACATTTTCTGATGAAGTATTCAAAAATAATGAATCGGTTTTTGGGGCACCTTGTGTTTTAAGATAATGAAAATAGGTACCGGTATGTTTTAAATGATCCTGCTGCAAAATCCATCGATAGTTTTAGTGAAAAACTGTCTCATAGTACTTCTTGAAATTTGGGTCAATGAAATTGGTCACCGTTGGCCATGAAAACAGTTCAAGAATGAAATCATTTTCTGGTTAAATGGGCATTTTGATTACCTATCCAACAAATACATTGTTCTCAGATTCTATCATATTATTATAGTAACAGGGGTGGTAAGTTCTTGCAGTGGACACACTGTATATACAAATTTGAATTGAATGAATCTCTATCTGGCAATGAAATTCCAATCAAAATGTTCAAATGTCACGGTTGAAAATAATACATTTTAAAAAAATATCAAAGGTGAACGCTTCAAAATATGAATTGAAAAATGTATCACGGTTTATATCATAGAATAATGAAGATGAGTCGAGATTATGAAAAAATGTGTGATAGTCCATTATGAATATGGAAATATTACTTACTCCAGGTTCAATTGAAAGTGCTACGCTGCGGTCGAATACTGTCAGTATTTAGTATAGGAAGTTGAGGATACACTAGAGTATACAATATCTTTTCTCAATCGATTTGGCATAGATTGAATCACAAACCACAAATCTCTATGAATTAGAGTTAAGCTTTCGAAGGGATTGGTCTACAAGTGTTTGTTAATTTCCAGGAAGTATCAAGCGACAGATCGACGTATTATTTTTTCACGAATTCAAGTATTCATGGCGAATTTCCACCAAACAGACACGTCGAGTCGCTGTTTTGTTTCCAAAAATGGAAACTCCAACAAAACCGACAAAGCAGCAACATATCAGAAACGTTGTTGCAACTGAACGGACTCAAACAGATTTCTAGTTCCATTTAAGTTTTCACTCATTTTCACTGGGCAGATTTCTCCATCACATTTTGGGGTGGAGGGTTCATTATGAATTCCCTGAAAAAGAACATGACCGGCTCCCGATTTTTAAATGTTTTTTATAGTTCCGTCTTTCGCGTTGGTACGGAGACAATATGATCTTTTCGGGTGTAGTTGTGTTGAATGAGGAACCAATTTCTTTGTACTATAGATTAGAGTCGTTATGCTTGTACGCATCCATTTTTGCATTTCGGTTATCATAGCCCATGTTTTTGCTGCGGGGTTCCATAAATTAGCATGGTCGAGGTAAGCTTCAATCAA